GCGCACGGCTTCTCCGACGTCAACCATCTCAAGCAGGCCTCCTGCTGGCGCACGCCGCGCTCGCACCGCCCGCTCCACGTGGCCGTCTCGCAAGGCGACGCCAGTGCGGGGCCGCGGCTGGATGGGCTCGGCGGTGCCGCATCTGCGGCGGCTGTCGAGGGGGAGGTGGGATCAGGGGGGGCGCGGAGGGGGAGGTTCACGTGGAGAGTGGAGCGGCGGTGGTGACGATCTTGCCTTGTGCTCGCAAGGTGGCCCAATCACTTTGGTATGTGGTGTACACATGCGACGAGCACGGTACCAATCGGATCCGTTGATGGCCATTTGATATTCATTCTCTGTCCGAACACGCCACCGTACTACCACACGTAATATGCCTGCAGATGCTGTGCCTGCTCGCTGATGTTTCAATTCGGGGTGCAGGTGCAGCCTCTTTTCCGCCGCCTCGTGGCGACCCACGGGGCCCCGTTAAGCACTGAACAGCAACAGCAAATGATGTAGTGTGCGGTCTGCAGGTTTCTTCGCGACAGTCTGCCAGCATGTCATGAACTCATTTGAGGGAGTTTCTGTGGAGCTTACGTCATCCTGACCCCTGGCGTGCGAGAAAGTCGCCCCCCAGCGCGCCCCCAGGGCCCACTTCTTCTGGGGATGCACTTGGCGCGCCGGGCGCGCCAGGCGTGTCCCAATGTGGCGCCCTCGCCCGAGACATCCTCGCAGATCCCCCCACGGGCCCCAGGCGCACCCCCTGGGACCATTTCCGGGAATGCACCGGGCACGCTGGGCGCGCCAGGCGTGCCCCAATCGGGCGCTCTCGCTCGAGACATCTTCGCAAAAATCGCTCCACGGGCCCCAGGCGCGCACCCAGGGACCATTTCGGAGGATGCGCAGTGCGCGCCGGGCGTGTCCCAATCGGGCGCCCTCGCTAGAGACATCCTCGCGAAAATCCGCCCACAGCGCGCCCCCAACCATTGCCGCGGATGCACTGGGCGCGCCAGGCGCGCCGGGCGTGTCCCAGTCCAGCGCCCTCGCTCGAGACATCCTCGCCAAAATCCTCTCACGGGCCCTCAGCGCGACCCCAGGGATTACCCTGACCTTCCAGGAGGGCTAAAAAATAGCACGCGACTTAAAAACCTATCCCAGAGCTATTCTATGTCTTGGTTTTAGGCTGTTTCGTTTTGTTTTTTAGGTTTTTAGGCCTCCCGTGCTAAAAAATAGCTCTCTGGAAGGTCAGGGTATTTCCAGGGATGTACCGGGCGCGCCAGTCGTGTCCCAATCCGGCGCCATCGCTCCAGGCATCCTCCCACCACAGGCCCCAGGCGCGCCGCCTGGGACCATTTGCGGGGATGCACCGGGCGCGCTGGGCGTGTCTCGATTCGGCGCGCCCTGCCATCTTCTCCGCCTTCTTTTCCGCAGTTGTCGTTCGCGTGCGTTTGATCCTCGTTGTCATCGACGTCGTGATCCTCGACGTCCTCTTCTCCACCCTCCTGGTCCTGACCGCCCTCATCCCACCCTTCTGATCTTCACCCTCCTGATCACCACCCTTTCGGCCCTCACCCTTCTGATCCGCTTCCCCGCGATCCTTATTTTCCTGATTCTTGCTCTCCTCACCTTCTGCCTTCTCCCTCCTGCCTCACGATCCTGATCCTCATCCTCTTCATGCTCACTCTCCATTATACTGATCCTCGCTCTCCTCGTGGTGCTCACTCTGCCGATCCTCACTCTGCTGATCCGTCCCTTCCTGCTCCACACTCGCCCGCTCCTGACCCTGCTGATCTTTATTCTCTTCATCCTCGCTCTTCTGTCTCTCATTCTCCACGTGCTCACCTTCCTGCCCCACGCTCGCCTGATCCTCACCCGTGTGACCCTTACTCTCCTGCTCATCCCCCTCGCGAGCCTCGCCCTCCTGATCCTCACCCTCCTCATCCTCACCCGACCACCGCTTCGGCCCACTCACCTCTCGTCCACAATCAAGGGAGGAATAACCACCCGGACCGGACAATTGGCGTTTATTAAACGGCCTTGGGCGTTTACCAAACAGCCTTGCCCTGTTCGATTCCTTCTTTGGGCGCGTTTACTGAAGGCCTCGCGTGTCGGGGTGGTTATTATCGGGGTTGGGGAGCTCTTCTCTCTTTCACGCCCCGAGGGCCCTCCGCACGGCCCTCGGCAGCGTCGCGGGTGCCCAGGCGACGCGCACATCGCCAGGCTGCTCATCCTCCACGGGGCCGACCCCGCGCTGCCCGACGCTGCAGGCGACGATCGGGCGGGACTGGCTCGGGGTGGGAGCCATCGATCTGGAATCGGCGACACATCGCCGATAGATGGGGCGGTGGGCCCCCGATGGCGAATCCGCCCGATCCAGGGGCGATTGGGGGTCGATGCGTTCCCCCTGGAGCCCATGCCTCCCAGGGATCCTCGTCGCCTGGCCTTTGGACACATCTCGGCCCTCTGGCGGCCGTTGAAGGGCGATCGGGGCACCCCCAGAATGCTCTTGGCGAGGCGCACCCTGACCTTCCAGGAGGGCTAAAAAATTGCACGCGACTTAAAAACCTATCCCAGAGCTATTCTATGTCTTGGTTTTAGGCTGTTTCGTTTTGTTTTTTAGGTTTTTAGGCCTCCCGTGCTAAAAAATAGCTCTCTGGAAGGTCAGGGCAGCTGCTGCAACGCATCCCGAGGCTGGGAGCCCGATGCGAACCCACGACAGCGCCCAGAAAACCTACAGTCCACCTGCATGGCAAGGGTGGACAACCCCTTCCGGAGAGGGCGCCCTCGCGCCCTGTGCCCCCTCGGCCCCTCGCTGGCCACCCTCCTTGCCCGCGCCCCGCTCTGACATGGCCCTGCAGGGCCCTCGCGTCCTCATCGCGCCTCCCTGATACGGGCCGGCTGCACCGGCGCCACGGGCGCCACGGGCGCCTGCTCCTCCTCCTCCCTCGTTCTGCTCCTCCTCCTCCTCCTCCTCCTCCTCCTCCTCCTCCTCCTCCTCCTCCTCCTCCTCCGCCTCCTCCTCCTCCTCCTCCTCCTCGTCCCCACGAGGTGAGCTCCCCGGCGCCGCAGGCGCCCTGCGCGGCAGGGCGGCGGGCGGCCGGCCCGGCTGCGAGGAGGCGCGGCGGGTGGTGGCCGAGGCCGCGGCGCGCGCCCGGCCGGCCCAGCGGTCGGGGCGCCCGGGAGGCCCGGCGGCAGGAGCGCCGGCGGAGTCGTGTCGTTTCGTTGTTTAGGTTTTTACGCCTCCCGTGTTAAAAAATAGCTCTCTGGAAGGTCAGGGGAGATGGGGTGGGAGTGGATGGGTCGGGTATGGCCAGGACCCCGGAAAAGGGGACCCGGTTAGTGGTAGGGCCCCGGAGCCTTGAATCGGCCAGAATCACTATTAAACCAGTTCTGCCGCAGCTGGTGTCTTTTCGGATGACGGTAGTTCCGGTGAGTGGGAATGGGACGGGGGGGCGCCCCCGGTACAGATCACTAAACCAGGTTCCACTAAACCCAGTTCTACCAACGCCCGAATGGGGTCCTTAAGGATCGCGCCGCATCGCCGATGTCGACTAGACGTAAGAGTGACCTTTCGCCGGAGTGACCTTTGGTGCGGGCACGGATGGGCCCCCAGAGGGCCGAACGCGAAGCGGTAGCAGCGGCCAGCGCGCCTGGATTTGGCCTCCCGCGGCCCCCCAAAAGCCGCGCAGCAAAGGTCGCTCTTACCCAGGGTCACTCTTACGTGCAGCCGACGATGCCTCGCCGATGCATCGCCGATGCGTCTCGATGTGGCGCCCGATTTGCCTCACGTCGACGTCGCCGAGGCATCGCCGACGTCGACGATACATCGCCAGTGCATCACCGATGCGTCGCCGATGCATCGCCGATGTGCATCGTCGATGCGGGGCGATCCCTCGACCCCAGCTACTCCGATCCCATCTGGGAGGCCTCTACGGAGGGGGCGGGGCCGCGCGCGCCGCGGCCAGGCCTCTGCTCGAGAAACATCGCCATACACATAAACTGTTGGCGCTTCGTGCGGATTCCTTGGCTCCGCGCTGGGCCCCTCGGCGGCGCCTCCGGCGCCGCGCCTGGCGCGCTCCGCGCGCTGGGGAGAAGGGTCCAGCGCAGAGCCACGAAGTCTGCGCGGAGCGCCAAAAGGTGATGCTTGTTCCGTTTTTCTCGCAATTGACTCACTCACGACGCTCTCTCTCCAGACTTCCTTAAGATGAATGTGCGAGTGACTGCGTGATTGTGTGAGTGTGTGCGGTTATGGTCATGGTGACGGTGATGGTGGCGATGATGACGCTGTGTGTGCGTGTGTGTGTGTGTGTGAGTGGGTGGGTGGGTGAGTGTGTGTGGCGGTGATGATGATGTTGATGATGATGTTGATGATGATGTTGATGTTGATGTGGATGTTGATGAGGATCATGACAATGACGATGACGGTGACGGTGATGATGGCAATGGTAAGGATAACGTGGGCGTATGAGTTAGAGGGGAGGGAGGGGTGTCCAAAGAAAACATGCCCCCCCCCCCACGTAGTGCGGGGAAGACCAATGCAATGGGAAGGAATGGGAATGATGGTGCGATGTCATACGTGACACGATCGCACCTACAGTCAACCCGCATAGTAAGGATGAGCAACTTTCCAAGGTTACCCTTGCGTCCTTTCCCTTCGGCCCATTCTTAGCCGCTTTCGCTGGTCGCGCCCCGCTCGCAAAGTGTCGACATGGCCTGCCGAGGCCCTCGCATCCTTATCGTGCGTCCTTCTTGGACGAGTTGACTGTCGTTTGCCTCCTGCCCTCCCTCCGTCTCCCGCGTTCCTCCCTCCCTCCCTCCCTTCTTCCCTCCCTCTCCCCCTGATCCTCACTCCCTGCTCCACCCCCCCCCGCCTCCCTTCCCTCCTCCTCCCTCCTCCTTCCTGCTCCCTGCTCACCGCTTCCTGTCCGCTCCCTGCTTCCTGCTCCACGCTCGCGTCTTCCTCTTCCCCCCTCCTCTCTCCTCCCTCCTTCTCCTGTTTCTCCAGTGGGCGAGGCCAAACGTTAGTCTGCTGTTTATGTTCGCTCTCATCCCAGCCCTTGTTTGCAGATGGGGAACGGGGCTCCACCGTGCAGGGTGGTGAGGAGAGGAGGGGCGCGGGCGTGATGGGGGGGGGGAGCACGGAGGAGGGCGGAGAGAAGAGGCAGGAATGAAGAGACTTTATTGAACTGGAGGCAGGAGGAGGGACGGAGCAGGAGCAGGCGGAGGAGGAGTGTTGTTCTCCATTTTGATGCCTCCACTTTTCTCGACATCTCTGTGCTTGGGCGGCTCGGCATTGCTGTCCCTTCTCGCACCTCTCTCACCGTCCCCGCTGGTCCCCGCTCAACGGACTAAAGGTCGGTCCGATCCCGCCAGCGAGGGTCGCCGAGGTGCTCCCCACGATGCGGTGGGCCTTAGCGCGGCTTGGATAAGGAACGTGTCCGCCTGCGGCCACGTGCGAGGAGGAGGAGGAGGAGGAGGAGGAGGAGGAGGAGGAGGAGGAGGTCCGTAGCCCGTTTGGCTCAAGGCCGGAAGCTTGGTTTTACCAGTCATCTCACCCGCACGTGCCCATTCTCTGTATATTATTACGTTCCTTCTGTACACAGTGCAGCGCATGTCGAAGTGGCAGTGCAAGTGCGGCGCTGCCAACGCCGCGGGCCATGCCTATTGTCACAAGTGTGAAAGTTACTGGGAGCTCTGCTGGAAGAGGCCGCAAAACCAGGGCGCGCGCAGAGATGCTGGCTCTCCGCGCAGCGAGCGGTCTGCTTTCAGACGTCGTGATCCTCCTTCGGCACGGGCCCCATGGGCCAAGGGCTGGGGCGAGTTCAGCAGGAAGGCGGATATCCCCTACGTCCGCGTGGCCACCCCGGCAGAGGCGGCGACCGATGTCAATTTCGAGACGCTCCAGGCCGACGCCTCTGAACAGGGGCGCAATACATTTTTCAAAGAGACGCAAGACAAGTCGAACCTTCCCGTCCAGCAGTGCAACTTGCAGTTCCGGCTCGGCCAGGTCCAACCCGAGACGCGCCAGGCCATTGCCTCTGTTCGCTGCATGATCATAGCCCGCAAGCCGCTCCAGACGCAGCTGGGCTCAGTCGAGAATTCAATCGCCAAGATGACGAGTCGGGTTACGAACGTGGAGAAGACGGCCCAGGCCACAAGGAACATGCTCGAGCAGCAGGAACAGCACCTGGGGAACCTCAACGATCAGCTTGCAGCCCTCCGCCAGACCAAACAGGCGCTCAATGACAAGGCAGAGGAAGACAATGTGGCACGCGAGGACCCCTACGGCGACGCCAACATGCACTACCAGGGTTCCTGGGGGCGGCCGCTGGCCCCGCCGCCGCCGCTTCCTGCGCCGCGGGCACCTGCGCCTATGTCTCCAGAGGCGGTTCAGGCTCCAATCGAGTCCACGATCGCAGCGGTGGCCCCAATCCTGCAGCATATCCAACTCTTCATGTCGCAGCTAACGGCGCAGCAGGCCGGGGCTCTTGCCCATGCAGCCCCCCCCGCGACTTTACCGCAAGGGTGGTCGCTCCGGCAGCCGCGGCGGCGCCCGCGGCGGCAGCGGCGCCGGCTGGCCGTGCGCAGGGAGGCCTTCCACCGGGAGGCCCTCCACCGGCCGCAGCGCCCAGCGCCGCGATAGCGCCCCCGATGAGAGCGCCGCCAGGGCCATCCGCAGGCGGGGGCGAAGACTTGTATGTGGGGTCAGATGAAGAACGCGATGGGCATTCTTTTTTCAGCGAGCGGGAGGGCGCGCGCAGCCGCGAACGCGCGCCCTCTTTCGGTCGCCCGACCCCTGCCGACGCCCGCGGGCGCAGCAGACCGCCATCGGGGGCGGCCAGGCGGGCAGCGCCAGTGGGGGGGCGCCCACGGTGCGCGGCGGCCACGCCGACAGACCCCGCGTGAACGCCGAGCGAGACTCGGCCGAGGGCCCCTAGGGTCCTCCTCCGCCTCCATAGTCCCTCCCCCCAGGGATTCATTATTCCTCCTCGCCCCCCCCCCCGGGGATGCAGTATCTTGGTTGCCTGGGGCCGGGCCAGATACCAGTGGAGTTTCCATTCTTAGGGGTCGCCCGGCCATGGCCCCAGCAGGCCGTCCGCGCGATGCTCGATCTTCTCGGAATGTGCATGTCTCGCTGCTCCCCGAGACCAGCGATGCGCCAGGCCCCCCCCCGCGCCCTTGCCCTCCAAACACCTTTCGCCACCAGGGGTCCTGAGGTTGTTGCGGGAACTGCGGGCAATTGTACGGATCCTTTCTTACCTGCCCCATTTTTGTCCGCGGCTGCTCAGGGGGGGTGGAGGGCGGGGGGGTAGAGGAGGAGGGGGAGGTGGAAACGGGCGCAGAGGCTGGAGGTTCCGCCGTTTGCGAAATAAACGCCCACGTGTGGAAGTACCGAGATCCCCGCCCCGCGCCCCGCATTTCAATGTTGGCCACCGAACACGCCGAAGGGGAGTGCGAAGCGTTGCGAAATAAACGCCCACATATGTTGGACTGCCCAGCCCTCCCCGTCAACCTTGAAATGCGGGGGAAAGGGGGCGTGCTTCGTCGTCTTGTTTTCGATCCCTAAGATGGGCGTTGATTTCGCAAACGGCGGTACCCCCCACGAGCGTCTTATAGTGACACAGCGCTGTACATTCACACATATATATATACATATATATATATATATATATGTATGTGTATTCCCATATTTATATGTTGTATGTGTATAAATATATATGTACATATACACGTGTATACATAAGTGTGTTTGTACACCCTATTTGCACATCCATATGCCTTTCCCCTATGTGTGCATACACCCATGCATACACGTACGTGCATGCATGCATTCACGCCGCCACGCAATCCGAGGCTATTCACGCGACGCCACCCGTGCGGAATCGTCCGGTGGCGACACAACGCTGATGGCCCCCTTACTCTCCCCTGCAGCTTCCGTCCACTCTGCCCTGTCTACCTCGTCTCGCACTTCTACCCCTTCGAGGCGTCATTTCCGCGCAAAGACGATGGATGCGCTGCCGGGTGCCGCGCGCGCACGCGCAACCCCACTGGGCGGCGCCAGCGGCGCCCGCGCGCGCGTGCTCACGGGGGTGCAAAAGCTGACAGGCGGGCGCTCGCAAACCAAGTGGACTTGGTCAGCGGTGCCCGCACGCGCGTGCTTCCGGAAGCGCAAAAGCTGAGAGGCGGGCGTGCGCAACCCAACTGGACTTCGCCAGCGGTAACCGCACGCGCACCCTCGCGAGCATGCAAAAGACGTGGGGCGGAGCGCTGGGGGGAAGCCCCCGGCGCTGCCCGCGCGCCCCCTCAGGGCGAAACCGGAGAGCCGATTTGCCCAAGAAGTCTGCGCTTCTGGAGCGGGAGCAGCAAGGCCCACGAATTCAGACGGGCCCAGTCCGCGGGGAGCACCTCGTCCACGGCAGCCGCACCCATCGCGCGGACATCCGCCAGCAAGGCGTCTGCCTGCGCGCGGGGTATGCGCGCGTCGGACATGAGGTCGTCGAAGCCGCTCACAGGCGGCACGCCCGCGTCTGCCCCGACCGGCGCAGCGGGCGCCGGGCGGAAAACGCCGACGGCGTCGAACTTTGCCGCCTCCCGGACGCTCCACGCGGTCATGCACGGAGCACACGAGAGTACGTCCTGCAAAGAGCCGTCCGGCAAGACGGAGGTGAATGGGAACTGCCTCACGCGGTTCTGCATGTGCCGGATGTCCTCCGCACCCACCTTGTTCGTCGTCTCCCAGAGGCCCTCCAGCTTGCCCGTGAAAACGGCGCCATGGTTCCAGCAGACGCCCTTGTTCCCGTCGTTGAAGGACTGGGAAACCTGGATCTCGGTGTGCTGGCCGACGAACAGAGACAGGAACAAAGAGACGGGGACGGTCTTCTCGTGGGCGAACTCAACCGGCCGGAAGTCGCCCCAGAAGATGAACCGCTTCGTGCCGCTGGCCAGGTTCCGGAGTCCAAAGGAGGAGCCCAAGGCAGGCTTGCGCAGAACCCGTTTCGGAGTGAACAAGTCGTCGAAAGGGTAAACAGGAAGGGCACCCTCGTCGTCTTCTTCGGGCCGACCATCAGAATGTCCCGCAGAGACGCCGCGAGCTCCCGAACGTCGAAAGAAGCGGCGCTGCGGGAGAAGATGGTCTCCACGGCTGACCTGTACGAGCACGCCGGGCCATGGGGACATGTCTCCTCAGCGCAGCGGCGCACGAGCGTCCAATCGCCCACCGCCTCGAAGGCCGCGTTCTCGCGGGCAGACGCCCACTCCTTCGTCTCCTCAAGGTCCGCCGTCAGCTTGCGCACTCGGCTGCGGACGAACCGCTGCATGGCCTTCGTCCCGCGGTCCTGGACGTACGCCATCAGGCTGCCCTTCGTCCACAAGTGCTTGGCGATGATGGTCGAAGTCAAGTCTACGAGGTCGAACGTCGTCTTCGTGCCCATCGCCCCGGCCGCCTTGTCCGTGGCCTCCCGGCGCTTCACCCACACGCCTGCCATGTATGGCTCCTGCGACATCTCGAAGAGGTCGATGGCGTCGTTCTCGCGCGCGAACCCGGCCCAGTCTGGCTGCCACACCCACGGGGCGTCGTCGACATCTGGTTTGGCTGGGGTCTCCATATACCCGTACCTCACGGCGCTCCACATTCGCTGGTGGGAACCAGAGAAATGGCTCGGCAACAAATGGCGCTCGCGCAGAGTGCGCTTGGCCTGCTGGAAACGGCCCGACCTAGTCAGCTTCGCAGCAACGTGGAAATGGATCGCGCCGTCTTTGTGCTTCTCCTGGAACACCACCGCCATGGACACGAGCGCTTGGCCGTCCGGTTCCTGCCTAGTGCGGCCGCCCGCGGACCCAGTCGGAATCGGATTGTTGAATGCGTCGGCCACTGCTTTTCCGATGTCCTCCCGGCTCATCGTGCCAAGATCGCGGCACTGGCGGCCGTCGGGAAGGGTCGCGTCCAGGACGCGCGATATGGTCACCAAGTATACCCACTGCAACGAGTCCAGTTTCTCGGCCTCAGCCAACACGGTCTCCAGAGGCGACGCGGCGTCCTGGTCGGGCTGCGTTTCCGAAACGACCTTGGTTGTCAGGCTCTTGAACTCGTGCTTGCGTTGGTCCAAAGCATGCTCTTGCAAACCGAGTTTCAAAGCGACCTGGCGGCGACACTCACGCAACGAAATGTGTTTCAAGTCCTTGCCTACTAAGACGGCCTTCAAGGCGTCCCGGATGGCTTTGGTTTCGACGGCCTCGGCGTCCACGCCTGCGGACGGGACTGGGGGAGACGGCACCACGTACCCCGTGTCCGTCTTCTGCCGCAAGCGGCGCCTCGGCATAGACGGGTCTGTGAGCATTGCAGTGCACGGTACTCCCAGTGACAGGTGCCAAGGTCCGTACGGTTCTCCCTATAAGACTTGAGCCACAAGGCAGCTGCAGTGGTTTTAAGCACCAATGGCCATGAGCACCAGGACGGCTGTGAGCACCACTTCAAAGCCTGAGAGCACCTCAGAGCCCATTAAGTAAGAACGGCTTGAGCCGAAGCGCCTGTGGGCGCTACAAGGCTGGTGATCACCGCAACAGCCTCAGAGCACCACAGAACTCGAAAGGACCTCAGAGCACCGCAACAGCTACAGAGCACCACAGGACGTGAGTCTCAACGTGCCTGCGAGCACCGACTGGTCAGAGGAAGGGGGAGGGAGGGGGAGGGAAAGGTATGCCCACCAACTGGACATCGACGACATTCCCAAGACAACCCAAACAGGCGCTGGAACTGCCAAATGGCCCAAGATTGCCCCAAAACCTGTCTGGGTCGGAGCGGGAAAACCGATGCAACTTGTCCCAAGAGTGCAAGCGAGGCCGATTCCCTCTCCCTGAATCCACCGCACTCCGAGGGCTCTGGAAGCAGGGGGCGGAGGGGTGGAGAGGACTTGGGGGTTCTGGAGGGTTCTGGAGGTTTTGGGAAGTCCTCCGAAAGTAGAAAGAGTTTGGGAGGGTTCCCGAGGATTTGGGAGCAGTGCGAGGGTTTCGGATGTATGGGGAGTTGTGGAGGTTTTGGGGGGAGCGCGGAGGGGTTAGAAGGTAGGGGGGGGTTCTGGAGGGTTTGGAGGTTTTGGGAAGTCTTCCAAAAGTTTAGGGGGTGTGGGAGGGTTCCGGAGGATTTGGGAGCAGTGCGAACGAGGGTTTCGGATGCATGGGGGTGGGGGGTGGGGGGAGGAGGTATGGGAGGGTTCTGGAGGGTTCTGGAGGTTTTGGGAAGTCTTCTGAAAATTTAGGGGGGTTGGGAGGGTTCCGGAGGATTTGGGAGCAGTGCGAGGGTTTCGGATGCATGGGGGTGGGGGGTGGGGGGAGTGCGGAGGGGTTAGGAGGTATGGGAGGGTTCTGGAGGGTTCTGGAGGTTTTGGGAAGTCTTCCGAAAATTTAGGGGGGTTGGGAGGGTTCCGGAGGATTTGGGAGCAGTGCGAGGGTTTCGGATGTATGGGGAGTTGTGGAGGTTTTAGGGGGAGCGCGGAGGGGTTAGGAGGTATGGGAGGGTTCTGGAGGGTTCTGGAGGTTTTGGGAGGTCTCCAATAGCTTCGCTGTCGATTTCAAGATCGATCTCACGATCAATATCACTATCGATCTCACTGTCGATTCCACGGTCGACCTTAAGATATATCTCAAAATCCACGATCGATCTCAGAATCGAGCTCACGAAATCCGCACCAAATTCAGTGGGGCGCCGGAACATACGAAGATTGTATAATCGTACAAAACCAATAACATTGCACAGAATCGGACTCTCCAGGTGCTCTCCAGGTGCACTCCCGGTCAAGCGGCCGCCTCGCGACAGGGCGACGCGACCCTGCGGGTGTCTGAAGGGCGATGATAATGGCAATGCCAATGGAGGGAGAGCGGGAGGCAGGGAGGGAGCGCAAGCGGCGGCCCACATTGCCAGGAATCGGTGCTCTCGCCTCCGCGCCGGGCAATCCTCACAAGGGGGCACGCAGAGTCCTGAGAAGAAAAATCAAAAAAAATCCCCTTTTTAGGGCGCCGAATTTTCCACCCGGCTGCCCTGGCCCCCTGGGGGCCCCCCGTTGCAATCTACCCTTGCTGTCCGAAAACAACAAAAAAACAAAAAAGTGTCGTTTGCGTGTCCTTCCCTGCTCCAATTCAATACCCCTCACAGACTCCGAACCCTCCCTCGGGCAGCAGGGACTACTCCGTCAATCCACAAGAGCAATTAAATCTCTGCGGAAAATCTCGGGAGTGTGTGCTTACCAAGCTTGGGAAGGTAGCGCGCCGTGAATGGGGCTGGGGAAGGTCAGTGCCTGGCCGTAGGCCTTCCGGTCCGGACACGCAATCAAAAAAACGACGGGGGGGGGGAAAGCGTGGCCAGCGCGACGGCGAGAGCACCATTCCGACGTCCACGTGCAACCCTGTGGTACGTAACGGGCCCACAAAGAAAACGGCTCCGACACGAGCGAGGGATCCATGTTCAAACATATTTTCTCGGAGTGTACGCCTGGGGCGTCCGCCGTCGACATGGGCGCGGGTCCTGGCGCGGTTCGGTCTGGCCCGGCAAAAGCCTCGGCGCCTGGGCGGGCGTGCGCAAGCCTCCCCGATAGGGGGGAGAGAGGAACACGCTGTGACCAGCGCGACGGCGAGGGTGCCATTCCGACCAGCGACCCGAACACGGCGAACTTCGCCCACGACCCGCGCTCGCGACCTGCGACACGACGCGCGCCCCGCGCCCGCCGCCCGTCTACGATCCGTCTGGCCTGGCGGCCCCAACTAGAGCACAACCTAGAGCACAACCTAGAGCACAACCTAGAGCACAACCTAGAGCACAACCTAGAGCACAACTCATGAAGGTATATATTTTCATAGAAAAAATGGCACTCAACCTTCCCAAATCAAAAAAGAATCAATACTTTCTTTATTTTCGAACGCGAATGCGTGCCAGACTACCATGAAATGAGTTGTGCTCTAGGTTGTGCTCTAGGTTGTTCTCTAGGTTGTGCTCTAGTTGTGCTCTAGTTGTGCTCTAAGGCGGCCCCTGGGATAAGCGGTCGCCTGCCCTCCCCGCCCCCGGACCTTCAATCCGACGGAATTGGCTTTCCTCCGCGTTTTGTAGAAGTGGCATAACGCACCGCCAACAAGTCGCGAAGGCAAGCGCTGTTGGTCGCAGCACCGGCCGCGAGCTCCACGTTGCAAGCGCCGGGCAACGCGCCCTGCCGCCTCCTCCGCCGCGGGCCAGACGCGCGGGCAACGCGTTGCACGATGTTCTGGACACACGTGCAAACGACATGAAGCCGCAATGATACGCAGGCTGTGTCCCGCGCGGGCCTGCAGCAAGGCCCGCGAATTCAGACGGACCCAGTCCGCGGGGAGCACCTCGTCCACGGCAGCCGCGCCCATCGCGCGGACATCCGCCAGCAAGGCGTCTGCCTGCGCGCGGGGTATGCGCGCGTCGGACACGAGGTCGTCGAAGCCGCTCACAGGCGGCACGCCCGCGTCTGCCCCGACCAGCGCAGCGGGCGCCGGGCGGAAAACGCCGACGGCGTCGAACTTTGCCGCCTCCCGGACGATCCACGCGGTCATGCGCGGAGCACACGAGAGTACGTCCTGCAAAGAGCCGTCCGACAAGACGGAGGTGAATGGGAACTGCCTCGCGCGGTTCTGCATGTGCCGGATGTCCTCCGCACCCACCTTATTCGTCGTCCCCCAGAGGCCCTCCAGCTTGCCCGTGAAAACGGCGGCGTGGTTCCAGCAGACGTCCTTGTTCCCGTCGTTGAAGGACTGGGAAACCTGGATCTCGGTGTGCTGGCCGACGAACAGAGACAAGAACAAAGAGACGGGGACGGTCATCTCGTGGGCGAACTCAACCGGCCGGAAGTCGTCCCAGAAGATGAACCGCTTCGTGCCGCTGGCCAGGTTCCGGAGTCCAAAGGAGGAAGCCCAAGGCAGGCTTGTGCAGAACCCGTTTCGGAGTGAACAAGTCGTCGAAAGGGTAAACCACCGTGCTCTTCCCGGAATTCGACGGCCCCACCAGGAAGGGCACCCTCGTCGTCTTCTTCGGGCCGACCATCAGAATGTCCCGCAGAGACGCCGCGAGCTCCCGAACGTCGAAAGAAGCGGCGCTGCGGGAGGAGATGGTCTCCACGGCTGACCTGTACGAGCACGCCGGGCCATGGGGGCATGTCTCCTCAGCGCAGCGGCACACGAGCGTCCAATCGTCCACCGCCTCGAAGGCCGCGTTCTCGCGGGCAGACGCCCACTCCTTCGTCTCCTCAAGGTCCGCCGTCAGCTTGCGCACTCGGCTGCGGACGAACCGCTGCAACCGCTGCATGGTCTTCGTCCCGCGGTCCTGGACGTGCGCCATCAGACGCGCGGGCAACGCGTTGCACGATGTTCTGGACTCACGTGCAAACGACATGAAGCCGCAATGATACGCAGGCTGTGTCCCGCGCTGGCCTGCACTAAGGCAAACGCGCGTAAAGCGCAGGAGTCGCGAGCACCGCAGGGCCCTCGCCATGGGCAGCCGAGCACCTCCCGAAAGGCAGGGATGGAACAGTAGCAGCACGGCTACGATTTTCAAGTCTACGGATCCACGACACGTTTCTCGGTGCATGCGCTGCGGCAGGAATTCTGAAATCTCTCGGCGGTCACTGAGGAAAAATCCGCTCTGGCAGAGGCCGAGCCGCCGATTCGGCTGGCTCCCCGGCCGCGGCTGGAAAAATTGCGTCGCGGCAAAGACCGTGCCGCCGACTCGGCTGATCAGCGCCAATGCTCCCGGGCCGCAGGCTCAATCGCTCGGGATCCTGCCTCCCTCGGCCACGACGACCTCCGCCGCCTTCGTCTTCAACTTAGCCACGGCTGCCCTGATGACGCTCTTCGGGATGCCCATGGCGACGCGCCTGAGGCGCGCCTTGTAAGCGCTCTGAGACTCGTTGGCCGGCGCGCTCTGCTCTGCCATTCGCCGGTTGACCTCCGCCCAGAGGAAATAGTCGAGGGGGTTCAAGTCCGGGGAATACTTGGGGAACTTGATGGGGGTGATCTTGAGACCCCGCCTGAGAGCGACCGAGCGGGGTCGACCGAGGCGCGAGCGGCGGGCGATCAAGAGCGGGCGCCGAGTGGCGGGGCGATCGCCAGACGGGGCCCGACTCGAACTCGCGGCCGCCGCGGTGGCGCGCCAACTAAGGGGGCCGCTTGCAGTCAACGGCCTTCTTGCTCTTGTACCCCGCGGGGTCGTTATCCCCCAGGATGCGGAAGGCGCGGCGCCCCTTCCGGCAACGGCGAAGCGCGGGAGCGAGGACGCCCGCGTAGAAATCGCAGGCTGCGTCGGCGCACCACAGGGTGGGCAGGTAGTGCCAGACGCGGACCTTGTTGTTCACGATGGCTGCGGCCACGTGAACCTTGGCGCCTGGGTTCACCCTGTTATGGTTCCCCTTCGGCTTCGTGAAAGGCTTGAGGACCTCGGGGGAGGGCCCGGCCAGCCGGCCCCCCGCCCGGCCCCCCCCCCCGCCCCTCGCATCCGAAAGAAACTACGCCAATAAAAACCCTCATACCAGAAAGAAACGACGCCAAGAAAAACATGTCCGATCACCTGGACGGGGCCGATCAGACCCGATCAGACTTGGATCGCAGACATGGATCGGGGCAACGATCGGGGGCGGAATCGGCATCTCGACTTCAGCGGCCCGGCGGCCCCCGCCCCCAGCCCCTGGGATCGCACTCGGGACCGAGAGTCGCGCCCCCTCTGCCTTGGTGCGAAGGTGGCCGCGAACGCGACTCTTCTTTGCGTGCGTCTTCGCCCGCTTGGTCATGGGGATGGAGAACACCTTATTGTCGATGATGGCATCGACCTGGTGCGTGAAATAGTTGCCCGGGAGCCGCTTCCACCCCGAACACGCGGCCGCGCGCTCCTCCGCCTCAGCGGAGCCGCGGAGCGGCTCCGCGCGGGGAGCGCGCCAGGTGACCCCGAGGCGCTAGAAGTGCCTGGAGGCCGTGCCCTTGTGGACGTCGGAGACCCGCGCGGCCTTCATCACGTCCTTGAGGTGAACCTCGGCCTCGCCCTTGGCCGCCCGAATCAAACGAACCCGCGCGTTGTTCAAGGCGCGGAGCTTGACGGCCGTGAGCGTGGGCTTGCGGCCGCGAGTCTCCGCTGGGCCACGCCTGTGCGCGGCGCCCCGGAGGGCCCGGCGGAACGGTCGTCCAAATCGACTCGCCTACACTTTGCTTAGCCGCCAGCTGAGCTCTTAGGGACCTGGCTTCAAAGACAGTGTCCGTCACTGGTGAGTATGTACCTCGTCAGGTCCATATAATAGCGTCCTTCTCAAGGCCGGTTGAGCTGTTGAAAGCCGCTTGTGTGCGTTTGAAGGGCTTTGGCCGTCTAGGGTTTCTCTCCTGGTGGCCCTCTCGTGGCTTCTTGGGGAGCATCTGGGACCCATCGGGCGTAGAGGCGAAGAATTCAGCGGTCGAAGCTCCCTCTTGCGAGGTGGGCGCCATCTGGGCCCGCGAACCGAAATAAGGGGTCCTAATGGCCTCGGGCGGGCTGAGGCCGATTGCTGCGTGACGATTGAATGCCCAGTGGTATCTGAGCCAGGTGACACTGGAGGAAATCGATGTGACCGGAGCACGCGGCGGCATTCATAGTCTGGCGTCGCTCTTGACGCCGCCCTCAAGACGGGCGGCTTCGGGCAGCCTCAAAGTCCTTGCAGGGCGCCAACGGGAGAGCGCAACCCGTTGGGCAGCGGGGAGGGGGCCAGTCTTGCAGCGCAACCCATGCAGATGCCCGTAGCCGAAGATGCCATGGCAAATGAGTCCGCCGTTTGCGAAATAAACGCCCACGTGTGGAAGTACCGAGATCCCCGCCCCGCGCCCCGCATTTCAATGTTGGCCACCGAACACGCCGAAGGGGAGTGCGAATCGATGCGATTAAACTCCCACTTTAATGTTGTGACTCCAGCCTCGCCCGTCAACCTTGAATAACGGTGGAAATTCAATATTCCTTCGTCGTCTTGTTTCGAACCCTAAGGAAGGTCGTATAGATTCCGCAAACGTCGGTGCCCCCCCACGAGCGTCTCCAAGTTGACATCAGCGCTGTAACATACACACACACATATATATATTTTGTGTATATAATATATGTGTGTAATATTTCCCCATATTCATTATGTTCATTGTAATTTGTATATTGTGATGTTATATACAAACGTGTATACATAAAGTGTGTATGTACACCCTATTTGCACATCCATATGCCTTTCCCCTATGTGTGCATACACCCATGCATACACGTACGTGCATGCATGCATTCACGCCGCCACGCAATCCGAGGCTATTCACGCGACGCTACCCGTGCGGAATCGTCCGGTGGCGACACAACGCTGATGACCCCCCTTACTCTCCCCTGCAGCTTCCGTCCACTCTGCCCTGTCTACCTCGTCTCGCACTTCTACCCCTTCGAGGCGTCATTTCCGCGCAAAGACGATGGATGCGCTGCCGGGTGCCACGCGCGCGCACGCGTAACCCCACTGGGCGGCGCCAGCGGCGCCCGCGCGCGCGTGCTCACGGGAGTGTCAGGTGTTGCGCCCACCAGGAAACAAAACGAGGGCCTCGACAAATTTGTTTTTGCATTTTTTCATGTATTTATTGGTGGCGTCAAACGCGGTCGTCGCCGATCGCTTGCCCTGATTTAGCGATTTCGGTCGACGGAGGCACGCGAATCGCGCGAGTTTCCTTCTCGGAACTGCTTCTGCCGTGTGCCGCGTTTTCATGGCGCACGTGCCGCGCCTTGCCCTTTCAGATTCAATCGCTCGTACTAGTGCGCGGGCCGCGTGCAGGCCGCAGTCCACGCGCGCTTGCGCGGCGCACCGCAGCGCGCTTCGAAACGATGTTGGGCACAATGGCATTTTTAGCGCAACGCCGCGAAATTGTTAGCCACCTCGCGCGGGTGATGCCGAACGCACGCGAGTCCCACCGCATGTGCGCCGCCGGAGCTAATTTTCCGATTTCGGTCGTGAATAGTATCGCGGGCGTGTGTCAGGCGCCTTCGACGCGCCATGTAGGCCCGCGCCGTGCGCGCCCACGCATCATGTCAGAAACATATCAACTTACTACTTCCGCGTAATGCAGCGCGTGCGTTGCAACGCTGTTAGCCAAGGGCGCTGGTGCGTCGCCGAAAACCACAGCCAGGTTCCCTTGGCAGGAGCCACCCTAAGGGGAGCCGCAAATGGTTCTCTCACGGTCCCGTTCGCAGCCGTTTGGTGGGGATATCTCAAGCGGTGTGCTTGTTTTCTGTCCCAGCATCCTTCGCTCTCGGAGTAGATTTGGAGGATGTCTCGAGCGAGGCGCTCCATTTCACCCCCCCAGGTGGGCCAGATTTTGAGGATGTCTCGATCGGTGGCCAGACTCGTGGGCGCTGGTTTTCCTGGGGAAGCCACAGGAGGCTCCAACAGGTTCCAGGAGGCCCCAGGAGACCACATGAGGTCCCAGGATGAATCAGGATGCCACAGAAAGACCCAAGAGGCCACAGGATGCCCCAAGAGGCTCTAGGACGCCCCAGGAAGCTCCTGGAGGCTTCAGGAAGCCACAGGAGGCCCCAGGAGGCCAGAGGAAGCGCCAGGAGGTCTCCGGAGGGCAACAGGAGGCCCCGAGAGGCCCCAGGAGCAGGAGGCCTCAGAAGGCAACAGGGGTGGCTCCAATCCCATGTGTTTTACGTATGCTCTCATATATTGGGCCTCACCTGGGGCACGAATCCTTGATGTTATACGTATGTTCCTATAGATTGTCCATCTCCTGTGTACTTATGTTCCTATAGGGCCTCTCCTAGGGCACGACTCCTTGGTGTTGTACGCGTGTTCCTATAGATTGCCCCTTTTTTCTGCGGCTCCAAGTCGCAATGTTTCATGTGCGACTGTTGCTATAGATTGGGCCTCTCATCGGGCACGAATCCTCCCTAGGAGGTCCCAGGAGGCCCCAGGGGGCCCAAAGAGGTTCCTGGAGGCCCCAAGAAGCCCCAGTAGGTCCCCAGGAGGCCCCAGGAGGCCCCAGGAGGACCCAGGGTCATGCGCAGAGACGCGCTCGTACTACTGAGGCTCATTCACACTCCAATTGATTCTCAGTTAGATTCATGACCAGACCGTCACAACTGAAACCCCTTTATACTCGAAAGTTTTTGCACCTAGATTCTCACGGCGGACAGGTCCATGGGAATAAATGCGCATATGGGGAGCCCCACGCAGTGAATATTTGAATCCCCTTAGGGGGGTGACAATGAGCGCCTCGCTCGAGACATCCTCCAAATCTGCTCCGGAAGCGAATGATGTCGGCACAACTAACAGGCAAACCCGCTTGTGACATCCCCACAAAACGGCCGCGAACGGGACCGTGAGATAACCCCTCGGCGGCTCCTTAGGGACGTGAAAATGAGCGCCTCGCTCTAGACATCCTCCAAATCTGCTCCGAAAGCGAAGGATGTTGGAACAGAAAACAGGCAAGCCGCTGGAGACATCCCCACAGAACGGCCGCGAAGGGGGCCGTGAGATAACCATTGGCTGCTCCCCTAAGGGGGGTGAAAATTAGCGCCTCGCTCGAGACATCCTCTAAATCAGCTCCGATAGCGAAATATGTTGGGACAGAAAACAAGCAAACCGCTTGAGGCATCCCCACGAAACGACCGCGAACGGGGCGCGCGTGAGTCTCAGCATGAGTAAGTCTGAGCCGGAGCAGGTCTGAGTATAAGTAGGTATGAGTATGAGTAGGTATTTGTGTGTGAATATGTGTCTGAGTTAGTCTGAGTGTGAGTCAGTCTGTGCATGAGTAAGTCGGGGCATGAGGAGGAGAGGGCAGGAGAAGAGTAAGAAGGAGTAGGAGGCGTCCAAGTAATAACAAAAAAAACATCTTAAGATATGGCGAAAGTGCAAACTGCACCAAACCCTCGATGGGGATTACCCGTCTGACATGCAACGCCATCCGCGCGGGGCGAACATCACGCGGTGATAACGGACTGTGGCCCCAGTCGCACTGTAAAATCCAATCCGCGAGCTCCCATCGGGGAATCCAGGCG